GCCCGTAGTCAGAAAGTTCGCGGTGTTTACCCTTGATCTTGATCTCGGCCTTCGCTTGATCTCTCTCTGGTCGAGAGTGAGGGTATAGAGAAATCACCGGTGCACACGGTAGTGCAATATAATCTATATATATATGTCCTGCGCAGATTTCTAGTCTCCTCTGAGATTTTCTGCCGAAACCAAAATTTCGTCCGGAGGCATTTTTATTAACTTTCACGTAGACTACGCATACCTGCCAAGCGACAAGGAAGGTTTAAGTCAGATTCGCACCAACTAAAACCACATGATATTCCACTTTCACCATATCGTAGAAGGATCGCTAACACTGGCCGCTCCGTGACGGCCACTCCTAGATATAAGACAATACTTATCCCTTTCCCTTCTCAGGTAAGATGTATGGTTACAGGAAACCAACATTCAGAAGCACCAGTCTTCCTGACCTCTTACTTATTTCGAAGAGTATAGCGAGTCAGTATAGTATCAGATTTAAAGTAACAACTCATCTATAGTCATTTTTGTTAGAAGTGCAGGTGTCCATTGCCTGCAGGAGTCACTTACCATCAGTTAGGCTGCAAGTTTGTTTGTCACTTCAGTTTTATTTAAAAAAAACTACGATGCAGTAATACTGGCATAAAATCGAACACAATAAAAAAACCAAGGTCTATAAATAAAAGAATGTTAAAACAATTTAACTTTGTTTATTTTGTAGGTATTATTCACTGGTTGGCGAATATCGCATGTCTTATCAAGATAAGGTTTTATTGATACAACAAACATGGATAACAACCGTAATCTTCTCGAATTTAACAAAAATGCGCCCGCATAACAATGAACTATCATTGATCATTCTTAGTTATTTAGGTTACAGCCTTCCGTCCCACTGCTGGGCACAGGCCTCCTCTTATTTCTGAGAGGGTTTTAGAGCAAGGAAATGTCCGTGCTGCTCCAATGCGTATTGGCAAACTTCACGTCTTAAAAAAATCACATTTTTCAGACATACCGTTTTCCTTACGATGTTTTCCTTTACCTCCGAGCATGTGGTAAGTCAGCACTTAAAATTGCAATAAACAATTTCATTGGTGTCGGCGACGATCGACCCCGGGTTGTTCGCGTGCTGGGAAATATACAGCGAGTGCTTAGCATCTTATCTACCACGGCTATTATTCACGGCTTCCATTATTCATTATTGCTTCTTCATAATCATCATCATTACAGTGTTTCATAAGCCCAGACTGAACATCCTCCAAGACTTCCTCTAAGCTAGATTACCGGTTCATTTCCACTTCGGGTTGCTGATACATTGGGCTATGTCGGTAATAAGAAACAAATATTTGTTTGATTTAAAACTATTTGAAACCGGTCAACAAAATACAATAGTATATTTGCAACGATAGGGAATATTTATTATTAATACATTAAACAGAGTTATTTTGCAATTTACAGCCAAATTTGCAAAGAATAAGTAAATTAGGCGAATGGTGAAGAAAAATTAATTTTAAAATATCTCAACCATTCTAATTCTTTTTTCTTTTAAATTCATAATGCGTGGTTAATGAATTATTTTAACTGATTGTTATTAATAAATATCTAACGCGTACTAATTTAGTACGCACGCACACTTTCGTACGAGTCAATCGGTCGGCAACTACAACGTTGGAGATTGAATCGCACACAGGAGGAGCGCCTGTACGCGGTTGTTGCCTATAAATCGCATTATATATATATATATATATATATATATATATATATATATATATATATCGGAATCTCGGAAACGGCTCGATTTTCATAAAATTTATTGTCCACGGAGTTTCGGGGGCAATAAACCGATCTAGCTAGGATTTATTTTTAGAAAATGTCTTTTTGTCCCTGTTTTCAGGCAATGAAAAACTGCTAAAATATAAAGAGAAATTTTGACACTATGTTAATGATCATAATTGCTCAAGTGTAGAGTAATGCCTTGGTTAGCGTCCTGTCTTCGGTCCGACTTTTTTCCTTTTTATTTCAAGTTCCCTTCTTTTGTGAGAAAATCTATTATTTCGAGCCCTTTTTTTAGTATTTTTTAAAAATATGAAAAATTTTATTAAACTAGTTGCACTCATTAATTTTTTATTTAAATAATCAGGTCAGTTTTTTCTATTATGTCAATAAGATCAAAAAATATTATTCATGTTTCACCAGTATGTAATTTGTATCTAAATGTAATTTCAAAAAAAAAGCTCAGTCATCCAGGTACTATATTTTACTTTGGCTACTCTTTGCAAAATAACCCTTTATAATAAAGAGAATAATACTAAATGTGTCAGACAAAATAAACTTACAGTTTAGCTAATAATAGTCTTGTAGATTTTTGTAACAATTAGGTCCCGGACGGTATCGCGGTATAAAATGTCATGCATGCATGATAGCTTACTTATACTGATTGATGCGTATGATATGCAAACCACGCGCTGGCGGTTGATCGACTGTTCATTTATTTTTTTATCCTGCTTTGACTGACTTGCACGCATAATCATTCATGTCCATTATTGCTTATCCAGGGTCTTTGGATAAGCAATAATGGACACCATTGTTAAGTTCAATTTAGTCCGGACATAATTAAATTGATAAAACAGCTGCAATAATACAAATCTTAAAGGGTGTAAAAGACTCAGCTGTTAATCAAATTCAGAAACAAAGGAATAATTATACCATTTTATGAATATTTTAGTACCTACTTGTTTCGATCGTTTACCTATAAATAAAAGTTTATCAAATAATTGAGTACTGATATCAACCACTATAATATAATGTATATAATGTATATACCAGTTTGTTACTGATGCTCATGAAACCTTTTCAATTCACGCTACATAAAATTATAAGGTCATAAACAACTAGGTAATGCTTGGTTCTTAGGCAGTATTGTTACGACAATAATGCTCCGAACACGTTATGTGATCGTTAAACCGGCTGGCTGCGACAAAATTTGTGCAAGAAATAGCAGTAACAAGTTTTTCAAATAAAAGCGAGGTCGTGGTCTAACTGTTAACCAAACAATCAAAACTTATATCTCATTAAGAATAACATTGTTGATTTGTAATTTCACACAAAACGGGTTTTCCGTATCGATAAGACTCAGGGACTTTCAAGTAAAGTATCTACTGCCTATTAAAAGGCCAGCAACGCACCTGTTAATACCTTGTTGTTGCATTTGTTCATGGCGCAATTAGCAAACTCATTTGTTCCCTCTCTATAAAACCAGGTCCTCACTTTTATATTAAAATCGATTCGATTTTTTTTTACCACAATCAAATGAAACAAACATCATCTTTTTTATAGAATCAAGGTGACAACGAGCATACAACCCACCTGATGGTAAGTGAATGTTGTGGCCCAGCGATATCAACATTTATCCTCAATTACGAATCAAATTGCAGATGCGTTGTCATTCCTGAGGACTGAGAATTTTGTTTTAATTTGTAAGCAGAAGATAAATAAAAAGTCAACAATAGTAATACTTCTCAGTGTATCAAATCGTATCAACTAATCCAATTTTGAAATGAAAACAACATTTGCTCAATAACAAACTTTAATAGGTATTCAAACTTCAAAACATCATTAGAAGTTGGAAAATGAGAAACAAAAAAATTATTACAAAAAAAAATATTAAAAAATTCTGAATTTGAATCATACATAAATTAACAATATTAAACATTATTTTCAAGATCAAAAACATCCCGAAGGATTACCGCACACTACGGTCCTGGTCCCAAGCGACTTACATACACTGACTTTCTTCGTGACTTACCACATTGTCACTATACGAAGTTACTATCAAACAAACTATCTTAAATTCCTATATGGCCATCCCATTGCCATTTCCACAGTCTTCTTTAGCTTAATCAGTTCGAACGTACTTTTAAAAAGCGTTATCACTATCAATTGAATCATCATCATTGTTATGATCATGCTCACAATTAATACAAAAATAGAAAGATATCATGAACTTATACAATAATACTTATATGTGACCTGCAAAGGTCTCTTTTTATGAGAGTTATAAAATCAGTGGCTGCTTATTTCTCCACTTAAATAATACGTCATGGGCTTCACGCCTTTGTATAGACTTTTTTTCCGAAATCTATACTATATCTATACATACCCAAAATAAAACCAAAAAAAACGGCCAACTGAAGTTACGTTCGACAATATAAAAGAGATTAAGTACTAAGAACAAAAACCGACCGAGCTTTATAGTAGTCGCATATGATGTGTAACATCTGACATCTCACCTTAGTAATAAGCATCATTAACATTATATCCTGAAAAGGACTATTTGTTTTATAAATCAAAATTAAAAATATCTATTGAGCAGCGAAAGAAATTAACCTTAAAATTTTCTCTCAAATTTCAACTCACTTGTATTTTTTAACAAAAGTCTGCACTTTTTTAAACAATTATTATCAACAGTTAAAACATTCATTAATATAGTTTACACATATAAATTAGTTAATATAACAACACACTTTACTACCACCGCGCGCGCTTGTTATTCAAATCAAATAGCGCGCGCTTCCCCAGCTTCCTGTTACAGACTTCCGTCTCCCTTCACGAAATCACTCCCACAGATTGCGGGAAAGCGAGAGGAAAGGTGTTACACATTAAAAAACAAAATCAAAACAAAATTAATAAGTCTGTGACACAACAAACATAAAACTTATAATTTTCCTTTAGTTCTTATCATACTTGTTTGAATAACATTATAAAATCTTATGCAATATCTGTATACAACAAATGCTAACTACTAGTTAAACGTTAACATCGCTCTCTGTACTTAGGATTCCACCAAATCCTAAACTGTTAGTTCTCATTATACTTGTTTGAATAACATTATAAAATCTTATGCAATATCTGTATACAACAAATGCTAACTACTAGTTAAACGTTAACATCGCTCTCTGTACTTAGGATTCCACCAAATCCTAAACTGTTTATATACCGTCCGTTGTTTCACTAACGTGTCATTGTTAAGTGCAGCGCACAACGCGCACACATTTTCAGACGAGGATGGGTCGTGATAGGTGTAATGTTTCTTCCATCTGAAGTAGCTATTGTATAAAATAGGAGACTGCATCAAACCAGATATGGTGTCAGCCAAGTCTCTGGGAGACATCTTCAGGGCATCTAGATACGTATCCGGAGGTAAGAACCTGTATTAATATAAACAAATGCATTAACATTTAATAAAATCTTACATAAATACATTTTTATATATTATGTACTAAGAGTGCCAAACTATCACGTAGTCTCGTGATGGTAAGTGGATGTTGTAGCGCAACTAAAGACTGTCTTTGTGATTACTTTCACATTGATTAGTCTTTAATAGACTGATAACCTCTAAAACCTTCGGGTCAGTAGGAAGTCACCGTGGCTTTATTATCACTATAACTGTCGAACGGTCTGCCAAACTTGGCTATTTAAAACTACATTAATATTTTTTTATAAAACGATTGTGGCAAATGCACTTACAGTCTACTTGGTGGTAAGTGGTTAATGCAGTCCATGGATACTGCATGCATTACAGCCTACAGATGCGTAGTCGCATCTGAGCACTAAGATGGAATGCGTCACAGCCTGTTATTATCTTAGACCATTCAAGTTATTATACTTGTACAGGCAAGCCATCGTCCATTAAACTTTATTATGCACTCACGTTTGCAAGCTACTTTGGGGGCGCATGTTTAGTTAGTAATAATTTAATCATATTTAACTTCAAATCAGTACGTCTACAACCGACTAAACACTAACTACTCAAGGAAAGATTTGCCACAATAGTCTTATAACTACTTTACTTTATAACAAACCTTTTCAACTTTGGTGATCTTTTCCTTTTGAAGTGCTCATCAACTAACTTCAACTTCTACTTCTTGAAAGTGTATGGCCCTACAAACTATACAATACTGCCTCTCTGTATACCCTTCAGACTGTAAAGTTATCAACGGAAGCGCTGTTTTCCAAGCAGAAAAGAAGTTCTAGCACCAAGTATAAATTCAATCATTCATTTAAAACAGCCCATAACAGTAGGTTGAGTGGATCTGCTGTTACCACAACGTCCAAAATTATGAGCTAATTTATATCGAATATACATCAACATCATTATAGCCCTTCACAAGTTCACGGCTTACAAAGACCTCTCTTGATGATTGCCTCATAGGGCGGATATTTGCGATATTTGCCACGCTTAGTAACCATGGTCGTTCAACGCAGTTTCTTTTAGTTGTTATTAAAAATATACTGCTGCCAATCTCCTGGTTTGTCTTCCCTCTGTCGCTTCTTACGATACCTATGGGATTATATGAGATTGAAGATATTCTAAAACCGCTACTATAGGGATACATAGTAAATTATTAGAAAAAGTTTCACTAGGTTTAGTGCTGGTTCTTCCAATAAACGGGGGCTTTTTCCGAATCAGTGGTTAAAATATAAAATACCTTCAATAAGCATTATGTACTCAAAAAAAAGTTAAGCATTACATTCTCTTCTGTTCTTTAATTGATTAATACTAATCGAAAATTTACCTTGTATAATTTGCGCCACCATATACAATAGGCACTGCATCATGTTTCAGAGCTGTCAGAAGTTTCTCTGTAACATAATCTTCCGCGAATGAATTCTCTAAAGACATGTAAAAGAAATAATCCCGTTCTAACATATCGTCACAACTGTTTTTAGCATATCTAGGGCATTTCAATGGGCCGCAATCGCCATACACGTCTACAGCTAATCCATGTCGTTGCAAATATTTTTGTAAATTTCTTACTAACGCTTTTCTTCCACTCCTACTAGAACAATTTGACACGAACCATGCCGCTGCCTTGCTCTTATTCCCCTTGAACATTACATCTTCTTCAACTGATAGATTTTCTTTCCATTTCATATCCTCCTTCGGCCCTACAACTTCACCGTTCAGATTTTTTATTTTTATATAAGTAAATGGAATGTCAGAGTTCAATTTATATGTCGCCGTCCAATTAAAAAAATCATCGAACATGGCATTGCATACGGGATAATTATCTGAAGACTCCATATTGAAGTATATATATTTCTGGTGCGGCGATCTATACATTGGAAGCTCATATTTTGTTATGTGTTTAATATTGCGTCCATTGAATGCTATGGCGTCGAAATTAGTCATATCACCATCGAAGAAGTACCTGTTATCTGTAACGTAACAGTTTATCATAGAACAGTTGTTTTTAATAAATGCGCGTTGTCCTTCTCCCAGTTGACGGAACGGTTCATAATCTTTCCTTGTCCACAGCAAAATATACTTAATGTCCTTCGACAGCCATTCCTTTTTTCTATAAACCTCCACATATCGAGAATCTCTTGCAAAATTTTCCAGTGCCTCTTGTATAATATTGTCATCCACTGGGAAGTAATTTTCTTTGCTTGTGAATTGTATAAACAATATGGAAATAAGGAAACTGATGAAGATAACCAATAAGAAGAATTTGACCGTGGTCGTTCTAATCAAGACTGAGGTGAAACAGTACTGTAGCTGAAAGAATAAAGGCATGTTTGCAGCATCATGTTAAGGCACTTTCTGGAGTAGTCTGCGTTGGTGGGCATTGGTGCGTCTAGATGAATCTCGGCACTTATACCTATAAAAAAAAAGTTTACGTTTTTTACTTCATATAAAAACAAAGCCTGTTATATTCTACAATCATATCTCTTCATAAAACTAAAGTGTAACGACTTTGCAGCATCTAGTAAGCTTCTATATCTGCTAGAAATGCCTTAGAGACATTTGGCTCCTGCAGTACACGGACACCTGCAGTCAACTACAAACTTAGAATGCTATAGATGCGTTGTCGCCTGTGAGATCTAAGATGGTTTCTGAATTTAGTAAAAGAGATGCCATCAAAAACATAAATTGTAAAAAAAAACAAGACTCGCAACACAGTTCTTCTACCGTAAAAAGTTGTGTGATTCATGTAATACCAAGTCGGTTAATTTATTCAGTCCCTACTAAGGGGTGCATCTGTCTTATTACGTAATTAGCTAAATGTTGTTAACATTTTATTGTGATCATATCAATATTAAAAATCTTCAATGTTTTAAATAAATAGATTGACTTGGGCCATCGCGTGAAAGCACAATGTAGCGTATCTCACAAACAATACATATTATAATATTAAATTAGATTGTTTAGTGCGATTGCTAAGTCAATCTGTTTATTTAAAACAAAAGATTTTAATATTGATATAATCACAATAAAATGTTGTTAGGTAAGCTAATTACGTAATAACTTAAGACAGAAGGACTCTTAAGTAGGGGGACTGAATAAATTTACCGACTTGGTATTACATGGATCTCACAACTTTTTACGGTAGAAAAACTGAGTTGCGAGACTTGGTTATTTTTTACAATTTGTGTTTTTGATGGCATCTCATTTATTTTTGTAGATAGCCCTACTTTTTTCCTTTTCGGTACCTTCTACTTCTTGAATACCAACAACGTAACTATCTACACCTATTATTCCATTACATTATACATATACAAGTACACTGATTCGTCCACTGCAAATGTAACTTTGTAATGCTATATATTTATATAGGATTACAAAGTTATTTATGCAGCTAGTGTATCTAGAAAAGTGGTCGGAAATTGAAAAATATTTTAGTTTTTCCTTGATTCATACACTAATCACTAATTGTGTTCTAAGCTTGAAGCTTCTATGTCTGCTAGAAGTGCCTTAGAGTTTTGATGATCGGTCCGTCAGTGAGTGACAAAATTAAGAAACTTTGACTTATTATAATTCCTAAACTACTGGTTCAAATTGAATGAAGTTGGAAATATACTGTATACTATGGCTGCATGGTAACTAAAAATTTAGGCTTTTAGTTTTACCCACAACGTAGTTATAGAGGGGTCGAAAATGGCCTTAACTGCTTCGAAAAAGGATGGTACAGCCGTGCCGCTTTTTTGTTCGACTTGGCGGGGGCACTACCGTGCCCTCAGATTTTGATTGATTGAACTGTTTTACTAATCGGTTATATTAATGTGTGTCAGTTGTTAGCAGGGTCTGATTCACCCACAGGCTAGTAACGCTAGAGCCCAGGGAGCAAGGTCCGAGGGGGCGCTGAACTGACCTTTGCAAGCTTTGTTCCTGACGTCACAGCGATATATTCTCCTTGGCTCATATCGCCGGCAAGCGAATCTAAAACCACACACAACGGAGCGCCACTTAGAAGGCCAAAATATAGACACATTAACAAGTACAATGTTTGCGGCCATCGATCACTAATGAAAAACTTCTTTATTAGTGATCGATGTTTGCGGCACTTAGACGTTACGCGACGCGATGCGGTGCGCACAATTTAAGATAGTAATACAAAATATAACTTTATTTACTAGGCAAAAAGATACACATTCTATTGAGATAATTCTAAAATGCACTGCGCCTCGAGATGCCTCGCGGCGTAGCGCGGCTCATCACGACGATTCAGATTCGTTGTCACCCGTGAGGACTAAGATGAAGTGCCTCGTTTCTAGTAAAAAGGGTGACCGGTTCTCTACACTCACCATACGACACACAGCGCCCTAAAACTGCTATTTTACGATGGTATTCTGTGAGAGCGTGATCCTTCCACGGTCGAGCAAACTCATTCGTGCTACAACTACACTACTAATATAGCTGCAGCTTGGCTCAACCACGTTAAAACTGTGGGGGCCCACACTTCGCCTACTTGTACATGGCTGCCACTCGAGAAACTTTCTTCCCCATCGGTTGTAGGTTCTTCGAGCTTTATGGCCAGCCCATTGCCACTTCAGCTTACTAATCCGTTCCTAGAAATTAGGATATCCGCAGTATAGCCAGAGTAAACGACATAGCCCAACGGTTCAGTGTTAATGCTAATCTGACTAGACCTATTAAGAACTATTTTCGTAATCTAATATTTCAAAATGTATTATCTTGTTATTTAGGTTAGGCGATTATAGGACAGCCTAAGAGTAAATGGACTGTGACTATAGCCACAGTAGTTTAAGTAAAAAATTAAAGAATTATAAATGGTAAATAACAGAGTAGACGTGCTTTATTTATTGTGATAATCAGTAATTTTAGAACAATAAAGTCAAATGCAAGTGATACATAGCAGCGTTTTCCTCATGTGGCAGCGTCACGGTCTTAGATTATTGATAGGTCGCGGTAAATTACGTATTTCACGAATTATTAAAAAAGTGTCGGTAGGTAATCTGAGTTAAAATATTATGTGGAGCTACAAGAGAATATTATTTATTGAATATTTATTAGCATTATTAAAGTAAAAAGCCTAAAATGTGTTTAATTTATTGAAATAATTTCAAAAAGTACCTATATCAACTCTTTATTTACTATTTTAATAATTTCATAAATTTGCGAAGCCATGTCATAACTAAAATCCGTAAAATTTGTTTTATCAAACAATATTTAATATAAAGCTAAATGAATAGTAGATACTCCCTCAACTATTACTCGAAATTAGACTTTACGGCCTGTCACTAACAATATAGGTACACACCTGTTGTAACGCCCTTGACGTCACTCGGTAACCCAAACAAATATGAAGGTCACCGTGCAAAAGCACAGACTTCGGGCTTACTGACACCTCAATTTCGCAGAGTTCTGCCGCACATGCGCAAATGGTCTGACCAAACAGGAGCAATATTATCGGAAAACGCTAAAAATGTTAGGGAAAACACACGTCACTTAACATTTTAATTAAAAATTACGATTAATTTAATATAGCAACGACGTGCCGGTTGTACGCTGGACACTTTACTAATAGGGGTGAATGAATGAAATTCGTTTTTTGTATGTTATTGAGCGGTAGGACATGAGCGCGGGGAACGGGCGCATAGCGCGACCCGCACTGGCACACTGGTTGGGTGGTTGGTGGGTGTCTTCGTTTGTCAGTTTTGTCAAGGTTAAATTAGTGAATTTAAATAGTGGCTCGATGATTTTCGCATTAGAATACTTCCAAACATTGGTATAACCATACAAAAGCTACTATCGCTGTATTAATATATTTTTTAAATTATTTAACTTTTAATATTGAATTACACACTTAGCTATTATACGCTATAGCTATTACGTACTACGTACTAGAGGCGACACTGCATTCAGCTACTATGTTCCACTCAAATGCGGTGCATACACAGCACTTTAATCATTCACTCGCTAGGCGCTTGTAGAGTTGACACGTGTTGTGTTGATTTAAAAAAAAATCTCTTGATAAAAAAATGCCGTCGTGTGTACTTAGATATTGCACAAATAATTCAAGAAATGTCAGTAAAAACCAAGGAATTACTTTTTATCGGTTAATAAGATACTTAATCAATAAAAAAGTATTATACACATACATATATACACATTTTTTGTAGAAACATATATAAGTTATTATAATTAGGCTAAATTTTTCATGTTTAAATCTGCTTATTATTCTTTTATTTTATTTTTAGGTTTCCATATCAAAGTCAAAGTGGAATAAATTCGTCCATTTTTAACTTTCGCGTGTCCAGCATTTATGAACGACTCTTATTCTAATTTAAATAAATATATTTGTAATTTAAATGTTATGTTATTAAGTTTTGTTAAATACAATTTAGTATGTTTTTTTTTATATTTGACGTAGATGATACCTTTTATTGCAAATATAATATACAAAATAAATGACAAAATTTAAATATTGTTCTCGATATAATTTACCCATTTAACAATGTAATCTACTATTACCTACGGATCATTCTACCTATGTTTATTCTATGAAAAAAAGGAAAAGGAGGGGAATACATATTACTTCAATGATTACACATTAGAAAACTTACAAATTATACTTAATCATTAAAAAACTGTTCGCTTACATAATAAACAATAATAATTTCAGTATAGTACCAGGATTATACGTCAGGAAATTGTTTTAAATTACGCTCTCATACATTGAGTTATAAACTTATAAACCAATGCTCTCATGGATCGGAGATCGCCTTTCGGTTCTCTCATCTTAGAGCAGTTGCAAATATTCATACTCGTAATATCGTGTTGATGAACCGGGTGCTAAGCGATAGATTTACTATTTTGGTCAACATAAACATAGCATTTTTTATAAAATAGGGGTGATAAATAAGCACACAGCCATTGAAGTAATACAGCAATGTATGTACTTACGTACTAGAACAGCTATTTCAAACAAAAAATGTGCGCTACTCTGTGTTCCCGCGGTTGGTTTTTTTATCATAGAATAAACATAGGTAGAATGATCAGTAGGTAATAATAAATTGCACTGTTAAATAGGTAAATTATATCGAGAACAATTTTTTTTATTTTGTCGTTTATTTTGTAAATTACATTTGCTAATTTAATATAATATTACATAATATTATATCACAACAACATTTTAATGATATTTTTGTCTCAATATTTTAAAAGTTATCTATCTCAAATATCAAAAAAACATACTAAATGTATGTTTTACAAAACTTGTGAATATAACATTTAAATTACAAATATATTTATTTAAATTAGCATTTAGTCAC